ATTTAATAACAGCACGTTGTTCCATTATTGTTTGCCGACATGTAACAAAATAAACTGATAAACAAAATATCAAAAACAATGATAAATGTCAACCGATTTAAATAAAAGTTTTAGGTTAGTAGCGACATCTGTTCAAACTTCATATGACATAAAATTTAAACAGATGTCGCTACTAGTTGCTGAGATATAGCTTCAGTCCCGGAATTTAATTGCCGCACTGTGTATATATTTATTTATTTATATGTTTCTCTATGCATTTTGTGCTATAGTACAAGCATATAAATTGCTTCAAATCAAATTGAATTCGATTGATAAACATAAACTAAGGTGATCATCATATGGGTGATCTGCCAAAAGATGTCTCCTGAGAGGACTTTATTTTTCGACCGTCCGCGATCTAATCCGTATCGGTCAAAAAATCCCAAGAATTTTTTGGGTGTGCTCCGTCCGCTTTATATCCGGACATGGTCTTTTACCATCCGGCCACTCCATTTAGGTCTGGCCGAATCTATAATGGGCTTGCTAAAAAAAAGGCCCCTTTAGTACTCTCAGGGCAGAAAGAGTTTTAAAAAAAGCATATGGTAATATATTTTTAGAGTTTACATTCGTTTAACCGCATCATCTACTCGAATATCTTGAGAAAGATCATTTTTAGAAACTAAAATATATTTTAGATAGACTTAGTAATAATTTATGTGAATGGTTTGAAAGCGTTTATGTTTATGTCGTCAGAATATAATATTTTGAAGAGAATATAAAGCAGTTATGGATGAAATGAGCAAAAATAGTAATTTATTAAGACGTGTGTTAATGTAGCATGTTTTAATTAATGCATTAATTTTATATTTATATTTTATATATATTGTATAATGCAATAAGTACAAAAGTTTTAAAGTTACAAAATTGTTTTTAATGGCTGTTGGCCTATATTCTAGTTTTTCCAAATTTTAATTATATGTCCAGTCCGCTATCCGGACTCGATCCCGGGTCCCTCAGAGCGGTCGGATAATGTTTTAATGTCTCGGCTATCCGGCCATTATTGGTCCCAAGATGATTATTTATTGGTTTTTTTTTTTTTATAAAAGTTATTTGAGATTATTTGAGAATTTATAACAACAGCATTCTGTAATTTTGTTTTTCCTAATGTAAAATATTTAGCGCTTGAGTATAATATTTCCATTTTAAGTTTGTGCTTGTGTAAAGTTTCCAGTATATAAAGGAATCACACTGTTGCTCACGCCAACCTACATTGGAAATGGCCTGACGTAGACTACACGGTGATGAAAATTCCAAATGCTTGTAGAATCGTTTGAGAGTGATGAGGAAGTTTCTAAGTATGAAAATCATATAAATGAAATGTCCGAATGAGATAAAATTTCAGACGATGATTCTGTTAGTGTAGCTGTGGGGCTTAATCTAAATGTCCAAAATATTTTGTCAAAAGATCGAAAATAGAATGGAAAGTAGGGCCATCCCAGCAAAACTATCGATTATTAGCTTCCAGAATCATCCGAAATATTCCTGGAGTTACAAGATATGCCTGTATCAGAATCGGTGTGACAAAATTGTCATTTGAATTATATTGAAGATAAAATAACAAAAATGAAAAATATTAAAGGATAACATATTTTAGATAACAGTGGTAATATCTAGTTAGTGCTATTTTTCAAGCATACATTGATCTTCTGCTACTAGCTGAAATTTATCGCTCACACAATAAATCTTTGAAAAGCTTATGGGATAAACTGGTCGAAAAATATTTAGAACAACAACTTCACTTAAATTTACTATTCGTGTTTTTGTATTGATGAGAAGACAAGAATGAGATGAAAAGAAAACGATAAATTTCTTTTTCCTTTAAATTTGTCCCAGGTTCTATCAGGTTGTAAAAGCGAAATTTAAACATTTCGAATTTTTCTAGAAACAGCTGGGAAAAAAAGTGTTCTAGAACGTTCGATACGACTATATATATAATGTAACCAAGGAGCGATTCATCACATATTTCGTTGGAATCATCAGCAATGTTTGACTATATGAAATTTTCGAAAGAATACATTCGCTTACCATTGCTCTATCAGTTCAAAAGTGACCAAAACACAACGAAAGCTTAAGATCTCATCTGCAAGGCAATTTGGTAAGGACCAGTCAAAAGGATGGCCTGCTACAATTTGTTCAAGAAATTCAAGGATGGAGATTTTTTCTTCAAGATGAATCCCATTCAGGCAGCAATTTCACCATTTATAATGATGTTCTTCTGCAACTGACAAACGATAATACACGATAAACCATCAGAGAATTAGCATAACTTGAATATTCGAAGATCGAAGAACTTCGTCTGATACCATCATGATAAAGCAGTAGCACACAGAGCAAAGATAACCTTAGAGAAACTAACCAGTCTGAGCTGGAAGATTCTGCCCTCTCCATCTTATGTTAGAGTGTTTGCGCTATTTTTTATTTAATTTATTATAGATACGAAGAAAAGGTGTAACTCTGTTCTCTCACAGAACTAAACTAAGAAAAGATGAAAAATGTATATACATACCAATCTTCAGTAAACAAAAAGTCTATTAATATTGTATTAATACACATCACAAAAGCAGTTGTTATGTTTCAGATCGCGCGGAAGAAGAAAAGAATGTATGGGATTTTTCCCTTTTTAGTCACGACAAAAAGGTCTTGCATTTTTCTCCCGCGCATTTTTTGTTGAAGAGTTGAACAACGAGATCTAACACACCTCACACTTCGCTCCAACTATCATTTATTTCGCGTTTGGGAAATAAATGATAGTCATCAGAATTACTATAGGCATCTGGGGATTTCTCCAATCGATCCTCGATGTTTGGCAACTCAGATTTCTGTATATATAGTAGTCAGTAACTTTTACTTGGCGCGAAGTCACTGACGTGACTCTCGATAAGGATTACATTAATAAGACCGGATGGCCGAGCAGTCAAGTTGGCAGCCTACCGCTCTGGGGGAGCCTGGCCGAACCCATAATGTGCTTGCATAGAGGCCCTCTTAGTGCCCACAGGGCGGAGAGAGTTAGAAAAAAAAGGATTAAATTGCTTGAAAACAAATGATTTTCATTCAAAATGTTATCCAAAATTACAAAATCTCAAATTTATCCGAATTAAAACGTTTATTAACAGCATATTGAAGGTGGCTGTTGCCAAGCGCCGACTGAAATTTACATTATAGTCTTATGTTTTTATGTAATAAAACAACCATTAACTAAAATTCAATTCATATGTAAAGAAAAACATCTGAGATGCAAAAAACTGCGCCAAGTAAAAATTATGACAATTTAAACGACAGTCAATTTTTTCTTAGGAGCTTTTCTTTGGTAAAGATAAGCTTGGCACTTCGAAACGGCATCCACAAGAATTTATTATTATTTTATACATTTCACTTTGAAGCGCCAAACTTATCCCAAGAAAAAAACTTCGATTATTATCTAAATTGTCATAATTTTTTACTTGGTGCAATTTTTTAATCTCAGATGTTTTTGTTTGGATACCTCATCTGAGCTTTCGGATGAGATGCGTGCAATAATTTGAATCCTGCCTTTGCTGTTCTGATCTGTATGACATGGCGATTAATTTGACTATATTTTTCTTCTTTCTTTCTTTCTTATTAATATGGAGACTCTAGCCTATATTTTTCTGTGCTACTCATTTGGAATCTATACGTCTGATATTTCCAGCGGCACAGCGTCTTCAGTAGAAAATCTAATAAATAAATAAACTTTTCAACAAAATTAATATAAAAAATTTATTCGATGTAAATTTTATAATAAATATTTTAAATTATTTTATTGTAATCACGATTAATGAACACATTTTAAGAATTTTTAAATATAAAATATCAAAAATTAATAAGGTCGTCGCCATCGATTTTTGATTACCAGGTGGAGCCCTTGTAACTCATCACGTGTCTGAAAGGGTTCCATTAGAACGAACAATTTGAAAATGCTGATGAAACATACTTCTCAACCATCCAGAAATGAAATAATTGGTTTAGTATTTCGAGTTACATTATTCGGTGCTCTAACGTATTTCGGTATCAAATGGATAGTAAATGCCCTCGACCCCACCAGAAAACAGAAATTAGAGTCAAAGAAAAGGGTAAGTTTCGTTTTCTAATACGTTTATATCCTTATTCGTCTGATATTTTAACTTATTATTTACGTTAATTAAGCATAATTTTAATAAAAATTAACTAGATTTCTATATTTGACCTCGTTACCTTTGCCCTTTCTATTAATCGATTGAATTCGGCATCGTTATTATTTTATTTATTTTTATGTTCAAAGTTTCTTTAATGATTTGAATGGGATTTAAACAGTGTTGATCTTACCTTGTTTAAATCTAATAAAGTAATATGAAGCTTTAGCTACAAAATTGAGCAAATTAAAAATGGAGTTAAAACAAGGAAGTGATACACTCCATTTATCATTCCATTTATACATATATATATATAATACTACAGATTCTTAGTCGACTGGAACGAATTACATCATCTTGGCTTAAAATCAAAGAAACAACAAACTTACATTTGACATTTAACTTAAATATTTATATTATATTTAAATGTCAAATGCAACTTAAGTACAATTGATACTTTAAACTGGTAGAATTATGTAAATTAAATGGCTTGACAGTTTAGTTGTGATTATTTAACAGAATAAGATGAATGAAAAAAGTATATATGATTTTTTTTTAATTAAATGAAAAGCATATACAATACCAAAATAACAAGCACTAGTAACTATGAGTAAAGTATAATGGATATCAGTTATGATAGTAATTCATGTTGAAATGTAAAAATGTATAATATGCAATAAGTCAGTTCCCTGAGTGTCCATGAAGAGTAAACAGATGCCGTGAAGGCTTCAAAGCTAATGGAACTTTCTATCTAGTTCCCGTAGCTTGTAGAACTTTCTAGATGACTGCTATATATATATATATGTAATACTATCGGACATTGTCAAAGTTTCGCGAAAGTTCTAAGTAGGTGNAAAAAAAAAAAAAAAAAAAAAAAAAAAAAAAAAAAAAAAAAACATTATTAAAAGAGAAAGACCAATGCCTAGACTAAATTAAATATAAATACGTCAACAAAAAAAATTTGTTCGACATTTTTACGATAAAATTTATGAAGACATAAAATGGCTTTGATGATGCATAGAAATGCAAAATTATTTTGTTGGCCATGCCTACTATTTTCAGATAAAATTAGTGTGTGGAATAAGAATGGCTTTGATGATTTAAATAATTTGAGTAAAGCTGGCAAAAGACACGAAAATCTTAAACGTTACATCGATTCTTTCGTAAAATTGAAGCAATTTGGAAATCAAAGCAGAATAGAATTTAACATTAGTAAACAATATAAAATAAATATTGAAAATTATAATGAGATAATTACGGCTAATAGATATATTTTATCTAAATTAATAGATGCTATATGTTTTTTCTCAAAGCGAGAATTGGCATTTAGAGGGCTTAGAGAATCTATTGAATCTAATAACAGAGGTAATTATATTAAATTTGCTTATTTATTAAGTACGTCATAGATATTACCCTATTAATTAAGATATTTATCAATACNCAAATTAGCAATTATTTATTGTGACATCATCACAATGCTGGGCTGCAATTTTTAATCGTATTTTCAATTTAAAATATATGCTCTTCACCTCAAATTAGTAGTGGCTTTCCCCTGTACATCATACTTTTCCTTTAACAATAGAGTTGTACTGGCCATCTATCTAACAGGAGAAAATTTTTGAATTGAAATAATGTGGCTTTTGGTTTGAATCGAAAGTTCGTATGTAGTTAATCAGGGCCTCCTGTCCCTAAGGTTTCCATATCTGGTTTCGTCTTTCATCTATCTAACCCTGTTCTCAAGATAAGGAAAGACTGTTGGAAGACTGTGGGAATTTATAGGTCTACAATTTTTTCAAATTGTAACCCAATTAGATAACAAGATGGTATTATATATACATATAATCATTTGGAGTGAAGAAAGTTTGGTTTTGTTATATCTTCTACATACTATAAGAATTTTTTCAAAACACATTTTAATTAATCAAATATTACCTCATAGGTTTCTAGCTTCATATTATTATTTCAGGTATAAAATGCTTGCTTTCAGGCAACCAACTGTTTCAATCAATTTCAAAGAAGCTGAAGCTGTCCTAAAGCAGGATGAAAACATTACTTCATGAAAAATTTAGTTAGTTTGCTACCTGAAAATCATTTTTTATTTATTATTTTTGTAAAAAAGCTATGTACAAAATAATGTCTTTAAAGAATCGCATTGATTTTTCCAGCAATGGTAATATATTTTTGTTAGAGATAAATTATCACTTATGATAAATTTATTGCAATTTTTTCCAATAAATTGACTGAACTTTAACTTTCTATATGCAATCAATAAAAATGTCTCTTTTAAGAACAGCTGGACAAATTTATTTCAATGTTTTTAATAAAAATAACAGAATTAGTATATTTTTAAAAAATTCACAAAAGTTACAAGAAACACTAAAATAAAAGTGTCTTCACATTTTGTCTGTTTTTACACCTCTGACAATTCACTAGTCTTACATCAGAGAATTTAAGATGTTTAGCATATTAAGGGAAATTAATCTCAAGATAAAAATTTATTCTGAAATAAGACTTATGTTCTCAAGATATAAAAAAAGAGCAAACTGGGAAGATAGTTTTATTTTAGTGTTTCTTCTAATTCTTGTTAATTTCTATTTTGTTTATTTGAATGTTGTTTGACATTTGTCTTGTAGTAAATATGGTAAGTAATATATGTTTATAAAAATTTAAATTATTTTGAGTATGAATCATTATAAGTAATTAGATTCTTTGTTGGAATGGCAAACCTTTTGAATTTGTGCACCAAAGTAGGCATCCTTAAAAAAAAGTTGTGTTAACTTTACAGTTCAAAAACTATTTAAAGAAAAGAAGTCACTATAATTTAATTAGAGCAAATTTAAGAAAAACAGATTGTGAATAGAAAACTCAAGTGAATATATAAAATAGGTATTAAATGTGAAATTAAGGTAAACTGAAAGAAATAAATGTATGTTGCATGACAAATGAATTCTTTCAACAACATGCCACTTTGAACATGTGATTCTTAAGTTTAGCATCCCTGCCCTATCAAATTCAACTTGTTTTAAAGGAAATTTTTTTCAAATTGATATTCTATTTAAAAGATTTTACAATTAATATAATTAATTTACTATAGTTTTATATTTGCCCATAACTAATGATGATATTGCATATGTTGAAACATTTTCTTGAATTTCCTTAAAAATTAGATGATATTTTTTGTCATTTATGCATAAAACTGATCAATTTATGTCAAAATTTTGTACAAAATTTACTGTTGTTAAAAGTTCTTAAACTGTGCAATGAGGTAAATTTTTTCAAATATATGTTTTACTGTATCTTAACTTTCAAGCATACTATAGTTCAGATCTTCCAAGTACTTCAGGATGCATATTTGAGATTATATACTGTAATTCCTTGATTAAGAATAACAATCATATATATTCTGCAGATTTTTAAAATTAATTTGCAGTATATTTTAAGCATGAATCACTTTTTGTTGTTTAATATGATAATACCATTTTATTTCTTCTTTGTGGAAAATTGTACAAATCAGTATAGAATATATAGTATGGCTCAAAAGAACAGTTGAAAGTTTTAGAACTTATGCATACTGTTATTTGTGATTCAGTTGCTTTCNTAGAACTTTCTAGATGACTGCTATATATATATATATGTAATACTATCGGACATTGTCAAAGTTTTGCGAAAGTTCTAAGTAGGTGGCACGGCTAGTATAAATACAGCACCATTTTGGCGAATCAGTTTAGTTCCTAAATAACAATCAAAGAATAAACATCTGAGAAGAGAAGTAAACAGTTTTAAGATGCCTGTTACCAGAGGAGTGTCCCTTTGTTTCAGTGTGTTGCTTTGTATTTTCGTATAGTCGTAGGAAAATGGAAAGGTTTTTATTAAATAAGCAAGTCGACAGTTCAAGTGAGAGTGATCAAGCATCGACAAGTGGTGGGGTGTATTGTAAGTACGATGATAACTATTTGAATTTTGGCTTTACTTCAGTAGAAGTAAACAATGAAGAAAGTTGTGTTCTATTTAAAAGTTGTAGCACCCGAGTGTATGGTCCCAAGTAAGCTAAAGCGACACCTCGAGATCAGTCACTCCAACATTGTTGATAAATCTCGTGAATTCTTTAGTAGGAAGTTGCAAGATTTACAAAAGGAAAAAAGTGTGTTTACTAAACAAGCCTCAGTATCAAGCAATGCACTGCTAGCATCTTTTAAGGTCGCATACAGAGTGACAAAGTGCAAAAAAATCTCACACCATCTCAGAAGAGCTTATTATATCTGTTGCTCTTGACATGGTTAATATTACACTGGGAGAATCAATGGGAAAATTAATTTCAAAGGTATCTTTGTCAAACAACACTATTAGTCGAAGAATTCATCAAATAACTCTGGCTCTCAATGACCAATTAATAGAGAAAATGAAAGGCGGGGAATTTGATCTGCAACCTGACGAGGCTACTGACAGTACAAAGATGCACACCTTATTTGTTATGTACACTTCCTGGATGATAATATTATTGTTGACCTCCTATTCTGCAAAAGCATCATTGGAAGTGCAAAGACTCTACTTGTTTGAGATGCTTGACAAGTTTATAACCGAAAATGATCTGGATTGGGAAAAGTGCATCGGTATATGTACTGATTGAACTCGATCAATGTCTGTCTAGTTGCTGTGGAGGATTTCAGGCGCTTATTCTCAGCAAAGCACTGCATGCTATGCAGACCCATTGCATCATCCACAGGGAAGCACTTGCATCAAGGTCGGTGAGCTCTCAATTGAATTTGGTATTAGAACATGTTGTAGACGTAGTGAACTACCATAAAAACTATGCCACTGAAAGCCAGATTTTTCAAAAAGCTACGCATGGACATGGGAGCTGAACACAAGTCACTACTGCAGTTCACAATGGCTTTCACATGGCAACATCTTATCCCGTGCATTTGAGCTATGTCAAGAAATTCACACTTTTTTACAAGAGG